ATATTAGTCACCCTCGCCTATGCCGCTGCTGATATTCTTTTGCTGTGGGCTTCACGAGACAGGTTTGGCATGATATCAACTAGATCTTTGTCCATTTCATGAAGGACTTTCATCTCCCATTAGGTATCCAGTGTCTGGTCTCCTATTTCCCCCCGCATAGTTTCATTACCTTACATTTACTTGGGTTAAATTTTAGTAGCCATTTGTTGGACCATTTCTTCAGTTAGTATGAGGCTACATGATGACCTAAACAATCTTCCTCTGTCTTAATCCTCCTCATAATTTTTGCATCATCAATAAACATTTCGAGTCTATTCCCTCTGGGAGATGGGGGGGGGGAACACGCATACTAAAACTTAATACTAATTTAGATAAAAGCATAAATTGAGTTAAAAAAATGGCGGAAATCGGTAGTAATAAGTTGGTTAACAAACAGTATTGTTTGAAAATAGTAAGACATGGGTTGACATTTAGGGGGTAATGTAGGTTACACAGAGTTTATTAGGTAGTATTTACTTTTTCTCTTAAACTGGTTGAGAGGTACAGCCTTTGACATGATTGGGAAGGTCATTCCACACTCTGGGTCCCTTGATATGTAGAGCATTTCTAGTTTGGTTAAATTGCACTCTTGGAATATCAAATAGGTATTGGTTTCTGGTGTGATGCTCATGAGTTCTGTTACAACGTTCTAGGAAGCGTTTAAGGTCAGGATTAACATTACAGTTCAAAGTTTTAAGTAAATAGAGTACACTTGAGAGGATGTTCAGTGACTTAATATCTAACATAGTCAAAGATTTAAGTAAGGGTACCAAGTGCTGTCTGGGGTCAGTTTGTTCTAATAGCGGCTTTGTGTTGAGTAATTAGAGGACGTAGATGATTTTGGGCAGTAGAACCCCAAGCACAAACACCATAATTGAGATAAGGATAGACGAGAGAATAATAGAGCGTCACCAGGGCAGGGCGAGGTACATAATATCTGATCTTAGAAAGAATGCCAACAGTTTTAGAAACGTTTTTGCTATATTTAGAATGTGACCCTGAAAATTCAGCTTATCAATGAGGACACCAAGAAATTTACCATCTGCTTTGTTACTAATTTGGATATTGTTTATTCTTAGATTAATTTGATCTGAGGATTTATTACTAAAGAAAATATAGAAGGTTGTTAGTGTTAAGAGAGTTTGTTAGCAGTTAGCCAAAGATGGACTGTTAGTTCAGTATTCACTATATAACTCTGAGTAAGTTATTTCTATAGTTTCCCCATGCCCTTGTACTTGGTTGCTTTGCTAGCTTGCATCTATATTAAACCGGGTTTCTTGTCTGCATTTAGTTTTTTTCCTTTTGGACTAGGACAAACTTGTCTGCCCCCTCACACTTCCGTGTGATGTAGTCCATCATGTCTTGGACCGTTATTACTCTGAGCTCTTTCCCATGTTATATCTGCTAAGAATTTTCTTCTCATCATATTTTCCCTTTTGGAATGCCAGCCTTTTGTTTTCTGTTCCCCTTCCTCGAGTAGCAGATATTATGTACCTCACCCTGCCCTGGTGACGTTCTATTACTCCCTCATCTATCCTTATCTCAACTATGGTATTTGTGCTTGGGGTTCTACTACCCAAAATCATCTTCGTCCTTTAATTACCCAACACAAAGCTGCTATTAGGACAATATCCAACTCTGGCCCCAGGCATCACTCGGTACCCCTACTCAAATCTCTGAATGTTAGACATTAAGTCACTGCACATTCTCTCATGTGTATTATACATATATAAAACGCTAAACTATAATGCCAATCCTGATCTCAAAAGCTTCATAGAAGGATGTAACAGAACCCATGAGCACCACACCAGAAATAAATACAGTTTTGATATTCCTAGAGTACGACTTAATCAAACTAGAAATGCTCTACAAATCAAGGGGCCCAGAATGTGGAATGATCTTCCCAACCATGTTAAAGACTGTACCTCTCTCAACCAGTTTAAGTTAAAAACGAAGCTATACCTAATAAATTCCCTGTAACCTACCTTACCCTTCTATTGTCAACCAATGTCTGCTTTTTTTTAAAGAGCGCTGTTTGTCGACATAATTGTATTTGTGCTGCGTTTTCATCTATGTTTTCATTTCTTGTTTTCATTCTACTCATTATGCTCAATTAGTCTTAAGCTTGTCATTTAAGTTTATCATGCCCGAAACGCTTTGCGTAATAGTGACTTTAGGCATTGTATGTACTAGCTCTACCTATAAGTCAACCAATCTTTGTAAAAAAATTTTGTATGTATGTACCTTACCTAAATAAACATTTTATTTTATTTTATATTTTATATATATATATATAAAACGCTGAACTGTGATGTCAATCCTGACCTTAAAAGCTTCCTAGAAGGTTGTAACAGAACCTATGAGCACCACACCAGAAACAAATACCTTTTTGATATTCCAAGAGTACGACTTAATCAAACTAGAAATGCTCTACAAATCAAGGGACCCAGAATGTGGAATGACCTTCCCAACCATGTTAAAGACTGTACCTCTCTCAACCAGTTTAAGTTAAAAACTAAGCACTGCTTAATTAACTCAGTAATTTACCTTACCCCTAAAATGTCAACCCATGTCTGCTATTTATAAACAATGCTGTTTGTCGACCAAATTGTATTTTGTTGTTTTTTTTCCCCGTGTCCCCCCCCCTTTTTTATTTTATTTTCTCAACACATTTTATACTTTAATCTCAATTAGTGTTAAGTTTTAGTCTTTAGTGTTTTTCTTGCCCGAAAAGCTTTGCGTAATAGTGGCTTTAGGCATTGTATGTACTAGCTCTATCTATAAATTCATCAATATTTGTATCACACCTTGTATGTATGTACTTTACCTGAATAAACATTTGAATTTTGAATTTGAGTACATTAGCCCTACTTCGACCCGTTACTGAAACACCAGTCCACTGTGATCGTTCATTCCCACGGGGGCTTCGAAACAGATTTCTGTTATGTCAGAGTCGTTCAGAGTGAAGACTAGGTAGTCTCTCGCTGGTTCATCGTTACCTCTCATTCTTGTAGGTCCCCTGACGTGCTGACTTAAAAAGTTTCTTGTTGCCACTTCCAGTAGTTTAGCTCTCCATGTTTCCTCATCTCCATGCAGTTCTTTGTTCTCCCAATCTATCCTTCCATGATTGAAGTCCCTCATGATGAGCCGATGGGATCGATACAGGCAGCAAAGGCTGCTTTCTCAATTAGTGTTAACTGGCATGTCTGTCTGTCATACTCTTGCCTGGGTCTTCTGTTATTTGGTGGAGGGTTGTATATCACTGCAACAACTACTCTTGATCCTCCCATTGTCATGGTGCCTGTTACGCCCCTGAACCTCTCACATCCTGGGATAATCATCGCCTCAAAACTCCTTTTCTTTCCTTTCTCATTAGTACTCTGCTTCCTCCCCTCCCCTTCCTTTCCTCTTTCCTTCTTAGTGTGGTCCTGGGGAAACACCGCATTCGTTATGATTCCTGAGAGTTTTGTTTGAGAGTCCAATTACATTTGGCTTCACTTCTTGAACTCTTTCCTTAAGTTCACTTGCCTTGATTGTAATTCCATCTATGTTAGAGTACATTACCTTGAAGTTGGCTCTCTTCTGTCCATCCTCAGTTTCTGTGGATTCCACTGGAGTATGGAAACAGGGAGGGTCCTGGATAGGTGGGCCTAGGAAGGAGGATCTGAGGGATCAGGAGTGTGAAGGGTGCTGGAAGGATCTGGTACAGGAAAAGCTTGGAGGGTCTGGGGTTCAGTTAGGACATGGGTTGGGGGAGCAGGGGGGGTGGGGGGCATGTGATATACATAGTGTATATGTACATATATAATATATAAATATGTACACTGGCTGCCTGTCCCAAACACACAATTATGAAATGGATCCAAAGTTCAGCAGTGGAGGCCAGAGATCCCGCGGCCCTGCATAACTGTCCTTCATATAGCGTAAGAGTTCCTGCATAAATCCAGTTGTACCTTAATATGGTAACAAAAAGGGGTATACTTTGAACAATATCCTCACTATTGCATGTTCTAAAGTGAACAGATCATTGTGCACGAGTCTTCGGTTCCCATAATAGTAGTAGTAGTAGGCATCCTGCAGTCTCTGAAGACTATGGAGTTGCACTCTGGTTGATAGTTCCCATGCAAGTCCGTACACCAGTCAGTTGTTTAGAGCAGACAGTTAGTGCTTTCTGCAGTTTTTTGTATATTTGGCTAGTTGTGGGTCTGGGGGTCATGTGTAGTAGTCTGCTGTTAAGGTGGGCAGAGGATACTGCTACCGAAGCTGCTCTCTACCTCAAGGTTCCTCCAAGTCCAGTGGTTCCGGCTGGCAGGATCCCACTTATGACTGGTGGTTCTAAGTGCAGTGGTGTGACTTACCCGTGAAAACACTGCAATTTTCACATTGATATAAAGTATCTTTTGAGGTTTAGTAGTGGGGCGAGGCTTGGTGCCAGAAGTTGTGCCTCGCCCCCCACCCCGTGCCTCGCCTCAATTTAATGAAAAGCATGAAGTTTGTGCCTGTTACCGCAATTGTTCCCTTATGGATGTGTCGAGGCAGATTTCCCAAACTATGGGGAAGAATGTCTGAGCAACGGTTTCAGATTTCTTCTTGTGGCGTGTCTGGTGTGGTGTGTGTGGTGTGGTGTCGTTGATGTGATAATAGTATGATGAGGTACTTTTCCCCACCGTGACTGAGAGGACACGCCATCACCTGGTGTGACCTCTTGACGTTGCAGGAGTTTAGGTCGGTATCGGTACATCTCTACATGGAAGCCTTTGCATGATATGCGCCTAAAGTAGCCAGTGGTTGTTAAAAGATTTGGCGGGTCGTATTCCGGGAAAAATTAAAAATAAGGACCTGCCCGAAACGTTATGCGTGCTAGTGACTTTACGAGAACGTAACAACACTTGTATATATAAATAAATACAAATAAATGTTTTTTCCTGGGCACTAGTGTAATACCTGTCTATACCTTGCAGAGAATGGCGGGAGTGGGTGTTGTGAAGGCGGTGCTGGCGATAACTGTAGCGGCCACCGCGTGTACCAGGCTGTGTCTTGGTCAGGGCAACTGTTTCCCTGGGGAGAATGTCAGCTCCCGCCCCATCGCCAGGAGCGTCGAGAGCTTCGGCCTCTCCCTCTTCACCCAGCTGGCCTCGGCCAAGTCCCAGCAGAGCATCTTCATCTCTCCCTACAGCATCTGGAGCGCCCTCGCCATAGCCTACTTCGGTTCAGAAGGGAACACAAAGCAACAGTTGGAGCAGGTGCTCAATGTCGACTCCAAGATCTCTACCTACTATGGCTATGGAGCCCTCAAGCTGCTGTGAGTGGGGTGTTGGAGGGAGGAAGAAGGGGGGGGGGGGTAACTGGCGTGGAAGAAATTGTAGTATGATGGTAAAGATTGTCAGTTACAACCATTCGTATTGTCAATAATGTTAGGTCTTTTCTGTAAACAGCAGTACATTATACTTTATCACTTTTGTTACCAGAGATGTGGCTTTAATTCTTGTATCAATAACGGTGGTAGTAGCGAAAATGATATTATTAATAGTTGTAAGAACTATACATCTTTTCTGATATAGCTAAGTGATGCCTTGTAACGCCTCTTGCCCTTGCCAGGCTAGAGACGGACCCCAGCGGCCCCGTGGGGGTCCGCTTCAAGAGCAGCAACAGGGCCTACTTCTCGAACCAGCTGGTGCTAGACAGGTGCCTGGCTACTATAATTAACGATGGTCTACAGACAGTTGACTTCACCCGTCCAGGCTTGGCGCGGAATCTCATCAATGCACACATCAACGCGACGACGGAAGGCAGGATCCCTGAACTCGTAGAATCGCTTCCAGCCACTACACGTTTTGCCCTCATCAACGCTGTCTTCTTTAAGGGGCTGTGGGCGACGGCCTTCAAACCCGAAGACACTCGCAGACAAGAGTTCATGATACCCCCAGGAGTGTCTGGTGGCCAGGTCCAGATGATGACGCAGGAAGGAACCTTCAAACACGGTAACCTTTTGGAATTTAAATTATTTGTTCTCATTGTCACGAGCACTCTTTTGGTAAGGTAACTTTATCCTCTAACATTAGTGACTCGATCCTCGGCCATAATTTTATTGCAACGCACACAAAATTACCCCTTTGTTCTAGAGTATAACTAGCGAACAATAAAAGTACGTTAACTTTACTATTCCACTATAATTGGATTCTTTAAGTACGATAATCAAGAAATTGGTATAAATTATTTTCCAGTGCTTAATTGCTTTGTCATGTTAGTGTGATTGGTTGCTCACCATATCATCGTTTGTCCTTACCCCAGTGTGTGTTTGAGCCTTCGCCGTTATGCTATTCTGAACCTGCCTCGGTTTCTTTCCTGACACTAGTATTCTTGTTCCTGGCCTTCATGTGTGCCTCCCTGCTTGTCACGACACACCTGGTCTGTTTATCCATGCCTTCTCTTGTATTTTGCTTCCTTACATTGGCTTTGAACCATGGTGTTAATCTCTCGTCTTTTCTGGACAAATTCCCAATTTACTTACCGTCTTCCCCGTCAAGGTCATTATCCCAGTCTATCGTCTGAAGGAAGAAATTTACCAAAATTCTTTTAGCTTAGCAAGTTAGTCTTGATCTAGTTAAATTTTGTAATGAATATTGTTACAGCAGCAATAACATAGACCATCCACAAGTAGTGTCTAAATTAAGCAACTTGCATATGTGGAGAGCTGGTGTCGTAATTGATATGTTCATCCTGCACACTGCCCCTTAACCAGTAGGCTTCATCATATCCACTGTGATGTGTGTTAAGACCATTCCCAGTGATAATGGTTCATCCTTGGCCCCCCCCCCCCTTAGCTTTCTCTGCATTGCGTGTTTAGGAAAGAAGTCTGTAGTGCTCATTGTTCGAAGTCCACGTATGTGTTCTCCACCATGGAGATTTATTATTGTCCAATTTCTCCATGTAAAATTCCCAAGGACGACGAGTTTTGTCGTTGCTGCTGTTGATGCCCTCCACGACCTTCAGTGTTTTTCTCTCACCACGCTCTTCCCTCGTTTCCTGTTACATCTGATGCAAAGTAAAATATACACCAGTAATTCCAGCCATCATTATACTTTCATGCAAGAGGAGCCACACATCAGTGGTTCATCCAATAAAATCGGCAGACTTCTAGATGTTACTACTGCTCGGCTTAGACTCGGGTACAAGTATCTCTGGGAATTGTCATTATCTGCTGATGTAGACCTGACCAAATGTAAACTTTCAACAAAATTATTCGCACACACTCCGTCACTATGTGATGGAGTGCGAAAAGATACATGAATTCAGAAACAATTCTATAACAAATGTTTCAGAGATGTCTAAATATTTCATTCAAAATGATCCAACCCGTTCTCGCAAATTCGTAAAGTCAATATTGACTTATTAACTACGTGCATAGGTGATATACTAAATATAATAGATACCCTTAAAAAGATTCATAGAAAACACCAACCTTACCTAACCTTGTTAGTATCTTTACGAAGCAATAAGATGCTTATCTTAACATACTAAGTAGGTTAGGTAAGGTCGGTGTTTTCTATGATTCTTTTTAAGGGTATCTATTATGTTAAGTATGTCACCTATGCACATATTTAATAAGTCAATATTGACTTATTAAATTTGCGAGAACGGGTTGAAATGATCTGCTACCAGAAATCTTGGCCAAATATCCCCAGTTTGTTAACTGTAAGTAGTAACCAAGTGACTGTAACCTATCCACCGCTGGCCACTGGATGGGGGGCGGTGTGCAGGACAAACATATCAATTGTGACACTAGCTCTCCACATATGTCAGTTGCTTAATTTAGAACCTGTATTTGTGGTCGATACCAGAAAATATCCTAAGGAAACTACTCCAAGCTTGTACTAAAGAGGCACCCTTCTTGAGCCCGGATGGGCACATGTATAAGCAAGTAGATGGGGTCGCCATGGGTTCTCCCCTAGGTGTCCTGTTTGCAAACTTCTACATGGGTACCATCGAGCAAAAAGTCTTAGTCGACATGAACTTGAAACCGGCCATATACTGCAGGTATGTTGACGACATTTTTACACAGGTACCTGATGTCAGACATCTGCAGGAGCTGAAGGAGGCATTTGAGCTGAGTTCCGTGCTGCGTTTCACTTACGAGATGGAAAAGGATGGGAAGCTGCCCTTTCTAGATGTAACAGTCATGGAAAAGAGCGGAGGTTTCCACACTGCAGTCTACACTAAGGAAACGAACATAGGAATGTGCCTAAATGCCAAAAGCGACTGCCCAGATAGGTACAAGAGGAGTGTTGTTAATGCATATGTCGACCGTGCTCTCAGCCACAGCTCAGAATGGAAGCAAGTCGACGAAGAACTCTGTAGGGTAAGGCAGGTCCTAGTCAAGAACGGCTTCTCCAATGGTTTCGTCGAAGACATCATAAGAAGGAAAGTGAAGCGCCATGCAACCACTGAAGAGACAACCAACACAACACCTATACCCCCTATTAGACTATTTTACAGGAACTTCTTTTCCACAGCTCATAAAACGGAGGAAATGGTCCTGAAAGATATTGTTAATAGAAACGTTATCCCTACAGACAAAAATCAGAGGATACAACTGACGATTTACTATAAAACCGGTTTGCAATTTTTGACCAGCAGTAGTTTGTTTTGGAATTCCTACCTTTCTGAGTGCCTGACCTGGCAGACAAAGACCTGTTCCAATTACACGGGGGGGGGGGGGGGTGTCTTTAGGCCATTTGTTCCTCGGGCCTCTCTTGAGGGGGCTAGATTCTGGCTCTGGTCCCCATTAGGCCTAGAACTCCTTCGAATGACTGTTGCCACGGTCTTTGACGGTTGCCATGTGTTCTAGGGAGGCCTGGTCGAAGAACGGGTCGTGGGGACACTAAGCCCGGAAATCGCCAAGATAACCTCAAGAAGATATCGGTCTAATATATACACATCAGCCCGGTATAGCTCCAGGGAGCCTCCAGGTCTCGCCCAGAAAATGGCGTGTCATTACATTCAACGCTGGTTTTATGCACATTAAATTCCATTTGCCAAGTGGTGCTCCATATACTTACTTTGGCCTGGTCTTCTTGAAGGGCATGACAATCTTCTAAATTTCTTATCCTTCCTATTATCTTAACATTATCAACAAACAGTAATGCAATTCTGTATTCCATCTGGCAGATCATTTATATAGACAATGAACATCACCAGAGCAAGAACTGGTCACAAGTGGTGTACCACAGGGTTATTTCTCCAGTCCAATGCATTGCCTCTGATTCTGCCCTCATTTTTCTATCAGAAAATTTTTCATCCATGTTAGAAGCTTATGTCACCCCTTCAATATGTTTGTTTCCAGAACAACCTATTATGTGGAACTCTGCCGAAAGCTTTTTTTTAGGTCCAGATAGATGCAGTCAACCCAACCATCTCTCTGCTGTAAAATCTCTGGCTCGATCATAGAAACTAAGTAAATTCAATACACAGGATCTTCCAGATCGAAAACCATACTGCCTGTCTGATATTATATCGTTTCTCTCCAGATGTTATACCCATTTAGTTTTAATTATTTTTTCCAATATTTTGACTTACACTTGTCAATGATACAGGTCTATAATTGAGGGGGGTCTTCCCTGCTGCCACTTTTGTAGATTGGAACTGTTAGCCTTTTTCTAAACATCTGCTATGACTCCTGTACACAGGGATGTCTGAAAAATCTGCTAAAGTTGAATGCTGAGCTCAGGTGCACATTCCCTCAGAACCCATGGTAAAACTCCATCTGGGCCAACTGCTTTGTTCTTTCTTAGCCCCAAGAGCATTTTTTTCACTTCGTCTCTAGACACCTCCATGTGCTGTGTTGTTCTCTGGAATTCTTATTGTCTGGTTCCCTGAAGATCTCATTTTGTACAAACACACTTTGGAACTTTTCGTTTAATGGTTCTCGCATTTCTTTTTCAAATTGTCCAAATTGTATTGTCCCTCTTACAGTAGTGCATATATGCATATACTGTATCCTTGTTGAATGTCCTGACTTCCAGGACGAGCGTGTGTCTTGCTTTCCGACCGTCCCTCCCGGTCACTTGTCACTCGGTAAAATTCTTGGTGAATCTGATATTTTTTACATCGTTTGCCTTATGCGTTTCTGTTCTCGTATTGGCATCCTTGGTGATATTTAGCGCCCTCTGATTATTCCGCACATTTGATGGTGCTACATAGCCTTCCCGGTTTGGGGTAGTCTTTTGATAACTACTTACTGTACACGGAAAATGAAAAGAAAGTATCTGTATCCCATTTTCAACCTCTGAATATTATCCTTTACCTGCAGCTTGATTTTAATGAATTTATAGAAAAGGCCTGGATCTGATTTACATTTGTATGCTAAACCGTTTTTAAAGTTCCTCTCTCCTTACTGTCGTGTAGTTGTTTCTCACATCGTTGGATCACTGGTATGTTTAGGGGTTTGGCCTCTTCCTATAATGATTCCATGCTTGTCTTTTGATCTCTGGGCCTCTCACAATTTTTCTTGAACCATCCCTGTTTCCTAGGTCTGCATCTTTGTTTTGGTATGAATGTCTGTGTGCCTTCATCGTATATTTTGCAAAATTTGGCATACTTTTACTTCCATTTGGCAACATTTACTTCCTTACCTAGCAATAAGTCTGTCCAATTATACCCATGAAAAAATTCTAAGTTCCCCATAGAATTTGAAATAGTTTAACAACAGTTTCAATGTCCCCATTCTCTACTAAAATATATCGCAAAGCGTATTTAATGTCCAATAGGACATGATCACTCTTTTCCAAGGGAGGAAGGTACTGGATGTCAAATACCTCTTCTTTCCTGGTGAATATTAGATTCAGTACTGATGGATCATCCCTTTCCCTCATTCTTGTGGCCTGTTTGATGTGTTAATACATGAATGTCTCCAAAATGAGGCTTACATGAGCCCTGTGAGCCAACCTGCCTGTCCAAATGTCTGCCGTTCTTGCCTCATAGGCCTCCCAGTCTATTGCCTTAACGTTGAAGCCCCCCAGTACCAACAATCGGGATTTATCTTCGTCTGCTCTTACCATAATGTATCTCATGATTATTATAAGGCTCTCTAGTTTGTCATCCAGTTCTTCCTTTGTCCATGTGTTGCTTGCTGGTGGGCTATAGGCATTTAAAATTATCAGCTTACTGACCTTGGTTTTGAGCGTGTGCACATGCACAATTTTAAGAAAAAGTTGTTGTTTTTTAAAACTGTGATGCACTTTGTGTGTAGGTGTATCAGCAAGCTTGGGAGCAGACATCTTGGAGCTTCCCTACAGGAACTCCAGCTTCTGCATGTTCTTGCTGCTGCCCAGCAACACCTGGAGCACTAACTCCATCCTCAAGAACCTCACGCCGCAGACCTTCTCGGAGGCCTACAGTGCCATGACTCAGAAGAAGGTAGACGTTGCACTTCCAAAGTTCAAGCTGGAGACTAGGATTGAGAAAGAACTCATGAACGTGAGTATTAGTCTTAAGAACTTGGGCCTTTAGCAGTTCCCTTAATTCTTGTTAGGCCATATGTAGTATTGGCATTTATTTATTTATATACTGTACATAAAAGAAGGTACATTTGAGTACATAGCATTGATGTTTTTACATTCTTGTAAAGCTTTTATACTCTTGTAAAACCACTAACAAGCATAGCGTTTCGGGTGTTCTAACAGATAATTTTAAGTAGGTGATTTCTAGCAACTTTTTTTTTTTTTTTTTTTTTTTTTTTCCAATTTTAGGAGGTACATTGTAAGAACACTTGACAAAAATTAGTAGGCACATAAAAGTAAAATTTGAGGGTTATCAACAGGTACATTGTAGCATAATTTGAGGATTATTTAAAGGTATAATGCAGTAAAATATGCATTTGATATAACAGAGTATGTCGAGAGATTGGAGATATCAGAGATTTATTTCTGGTGTAGTGATTATGGGTTCTATTACATGTGTCCAGGAAGAATTTTAGAACAGGGTTTGCATTTAAGAATAGAATTTTGTAAATGTAAATGGCACAGGAGAAATGTGTGGAATGAATCTGTTTAGCATGTTTAGGTATTTAAACAGGGAGGTGCTGAGTGTTGTCTGAAAGAGTTTATTATTCTGACAGCAGATTTTTGCTGGGTGAAGATGGGCTTGAGGTAGTTTGCAGTGGTTGAACACCATGCACAGATACCATATGATATCTGGATCTGACATCATGTTGTTATATTGAATACACATTGTGCTACCCAGTCTCCAAGTATATATATACCTAAGCCATACAACTTTACCATTGTATCATTGCTGTCATCTTATGTGCTATCAATATGTTTTAATATGCTTACTAATCTTTGTCAAATTATCAATCATGCTATCAATCAAAGCTATCAATGTGCTTTAATATACCTACTAATCTTTATCAAATTTTCTTACAATGTACCTGTTAATATTTTATAAATTTTGCTAGAATTTACCTACTTAATATTATGTTATATTAAGGACCTGCCCGAAACTCTGTGCATACTAGTGGCTTTACAAGAATGTGAACACATCATGCTATATACACTCACAAACCAAATATATATTCTTGTATATGGGGTTCAGTCCCTGAGCCCATTATGTGCCTCTGTAACCCTTTCCACTACCGCCCACAAGATGGGTATGGGGTGCATAATAAATGAACTAAACTAAAACTAAACTATTCTTGTATACAGTATATTTAAATAAAAAAGTAAAATAAAATGCAAGATAGACAGATTAGGGTATAGTATAGTAAGAGGAGAGCAGAGTTTGGAACACAATATCTGATTTTAGAGAGTACCAACCATTTTTGAGACTTTCTTGGTTGTGTGTTGTGTTGTGGGTGCTAAAGTAGTCTCTCTTGTCTAAGTATAGTCCTAGGATCTTTCCATCAGTTTTATTGCTGAAGTTAACATTGTCTATCTGAAGTTGAATTGCATTTGTTGATTTGCTTCCAAATAAGAGGTAGTAGGTCTTTTTTATGTTTGTTGTGAATGTTAGTTGACATCCGTAAGTGGACTCTTTAACTCTTTATTTACAACATTATTTAATGTGTGGGGGTTGGGGTCTGAGTAGATGAGGGTAGTATAATCAGCAAACAATATAGGTTTAAGGATGGTAGAGACATTAGGCAGATAATTGATGTATTTAAGAAATAGGAGAGGTCCTAGGATGCTGCCCTGTGGCACTCCTATGGTTAATGGTAGAGTGGAAGAGGTTACATCATTGATGGCATAATAGTAATATTTGATTGCAGTTACTGGCCCAGATGGGAGTGAGGGACTTGTTCGATGGCTCCAGGTCCAACCTCAGTGATTTCACCAGGTCAGAGAGACTCTTCGTCGATACAGTCATTCACCAAGCCAACGTCGAGGTTACAGAGGAGGGCACAGTCGCCACTGCTGCCACAGGTGAGTCATGGCAGCTGGCATGGTCGTCACCCCAGGTGGGTCATGGTATAGCAGGCAAGGTTTCTGGTCAAGGTGGGTCATTTGGGTGGGAGAAGGATTGTGATCTCTGCCCCAGGTGGGTACAGGGGTTGGGGTGAGGTTTACACTTCAGTCAGTATGATGCTTGTTAAATCTGCAACAATAAACAGCGTTAATAATTTTGTTGAGCCTATAAAATTGTTTACCACTGATCCATGAAGGAAGGTGTCGAGACGCTCAAATTTTTCACAGCGGATGATTCAAATGCTATTTGCTGGCATGCATGGCGGGTGCGTTTTGTTGAGTGAGGCAGGGTATCGTGCTGTGGCTAGGAGGCATAATCTCGGACTTCTGGCCAGGCGCCTCGCTTATTCATGCTGTGGCTGAAACACACACTTAAGGGGAGGTTTCCCTTCTACGAAAGACATCCTGCAGTGTCCACGATGCCATTAACACAGGATATGTCTCTTCCCCCATCATGGATACACCTGTGGTCTCCATGCCTGCTTCTTTATGATCAAGGTATTACAGTGCCTCTTGTGCCTACCTAGCTGCTCCTCTTCGTGTTTGACCCTGTTAGGCTTGTTGTGTGCCCGCACGCCTGTATCCCCAGGATGTGTGCCCAGCGGTCACTGTATGTGCATGTGGCCTTGTGTTCTTCGCCCACACCTTCATGTCCCCACTCCTCATTGTTGACTCGCTGGCGTCAACATCTTGCCCCTCCCTACATGGTGACGTGCAAGCAAGACAACCATTGTCTGTGATAAGACCAGAGAAAGAAGTGTGTTCCCAAACAAAGAAATACCTGACACTACCTGTAATTAGTCCAATGTTTTAGAGGGCCCATTTATTGCATTTTTTTTCAACAAATAGTAAAATAAACATAAACAGGGAAGGAAAACTCCAGTAGGAAGGAAAGTCATTAACAGGTAGTACTGTACTCTGAATGATTCCTTGATATTTTTAATTAAATTATTTAAATTAGATCCAAATCAGTCTTAAACAAAACTTAAGATAATTCGGTAAATGTAGGCAAGATGTCTCGCTAACTCACCATGGAGAAGTAACAAAGGAAACAGGTTTACCATGGGGAAGGGAGAGGCCAAGAACCACAAATAAGGAACCAGGGAAACCGGACCAACAAAGAAATTGCCTACCCGAACAAAATGCAGGGAATGGAAACCTGCCGCCTCTACCAGGCACAGCAGAGAACCTCTGGTTGGAATGACACAACCCTTATTACCCAGAGTGCTTCTGAATACCCAACAATATATTGCAGGTGAAAGAAACAACGAGGACAAATACAGCCTGAAGTTACAGTACCAGGAACATTGAAGAATGGTGGGGGGGGGGGGGGGGTTCAGGTTCAGGGGGGGTTCAGGTGATATGGTTCAGGTCCTTTCTCCAAGGAGAAAGGACCTGAACCATATCAAGAAGGCTTGGGAGGAGATATGGCAAGAAGCGTGAAAGTCGGCCACAATTCTCAAAGCAGCCCTGACAAAATGACCACACAAAAAGCCATCAAAAAACTCCACCAAGTCAAATGGAGAGGCAAAAGCAGCAGGCATTGGCCAATAGTCGACCAAAGTCCAATAGAAAGAACATGATTGCAGCAAATGCCAGACATTGGCGTAACAGGAAGGTTGAAAATCATGCAATGCCTACAGACCTGAGCGAAGAAGACAACTGAAGACGACCTGCAAAAGGCCCCACAGGAAGAATAGCAAATGCACTTGTACCATTAAAAGGCAGAGCCTAGAAAAATACACAGGCTCTGACAGCCCCAAAGTCACAGAAACCAATGCAGAGCTGGCCACCAAGAAGGGACACCGTCAACAAAAGTTGCCAGATGGAAAAGAATAGTGGAAAGCACTGAACCAGAGGGAAAAACATGGAACACTTCAACTCCAGGATGAGGGGGGGGGGGGGGGGGGGCCAAATAGAAGGGATTGTATCCATGCCAAAGCAAAGATGACCAAATGGCTTGCAAAAGTTCTTCGAAGGACACATCGACAACCATTCATCCCACCAAAGGAGACAGAGCACAAGACAATGCACAGTCTACATTACATTAGGAAAATACCAAACCCCAAAACCAGAAGCCAAGAACAACAGGAGGCCAAATGCAAACTGGAACAGACCTACATTGGTGAAACAAAGAATCCTTAGTGCAGGCAGAGGGGAAACTGGACCATGGAGTCCTTAGAATAAATGTGCAGCAAAGCACCCAAAAATTGCCACAAATTAGCAAATCACACACTTGCCAGAGGTAAGCTCCAGAGTTGAGGACTACCAAGGAGTGCCAGCCATAAACCTCCAGTCTTGAGCTGAGGAGACTAAAATGGGTCGACCACAAAAGGGTAAAGACTCCACTGAACACATCTCGAAGTCCAGTGAGGGGCAGCAGCGATGGAAAACAGGCCATTCGAGATGAATAAGGTGCACAGGTGCACAGCCAGAACAAAACCTAGTGAGAAGACCATGCAGGCAAAAGCAGGTCGCTGCACAACAACTCTTAAGACAAAGAGGAAATGGAGTTTCCCTAAAAAAAACTGGAGAATAAACACTTGAATCTGATTGGAGGAATGTGTTATGGGAGTTACACAAGTCCATTTTGGGGCCAACCCTTTTTGTTGTATACATCAATGACAATGATATGTGTAATGAGAATATTACAAACCACATCATCAAATTTGCAGATGACACTTAAGATTTATGATAAAATGGGAAGTGAAAATTATATCGAGACCTTACAAAAAGTTTGTTTTGAGACCCATACAGCCCAGGTGAATGGAATTACTAATGTAATCTCACCAACCCATTATACCATCTTGTAAATAAATTATTATTATTATTCTTTATTTATTATTATTGTTGTTGTTGTCGTCAGAAGACCTGCAAATGCTTTTTAATGTCAATAAATGCAAGACCTTGCATGTGGGGCATAATACTCCGTCACAACTACCAAATGAACAGCACTACCTTGCAGCAGATTGATGAAGAAAAGGACCTTGGAGTCAGAATCCATCATTAACTTAAAGTTGAACAGCACATGGGAGTGGTCACATGGTCATTTAATTGTACAAGTCGCTGGTGTGCCCCCACCAGGATCATTGTATCAAGGCATGGAGATGACATCTTCAGAAAGACATGGCTGCTCTGGAGAAGGTGCAACAATTGAGGCAGCTGTCCTCAACTTGAAGCACCGGGAACGTTTGTCGTTTCCTGAGGCGAGGCGCCAAGTTCGCCACATCCCCCCTCCCTTTTGTTGGCGTCTCTTGTGCTCGCATGTTGCGCTTTTCCTCTCCTCGTCCTTCCCATCTTCCTCAGTCTCACAACCGTTTCCAGGCCTTAGACCCGGACATGCCCTCCGCCTCCTCCCATGTTCCTTTACGTTCTGTTCTGATGGATTCCCCTCCTAGTTCTGTTTGGGATTTCCCCTCTTTCTATCCAGTCTATCGTGTCTCCTGTGTCTTATTTCTCACCTCCCTCCGATCCTCCTTCCCATCCTTCTCCTCTGTTTCTTGGCTCTCCATGCCACCTGTCTCTGCGAACTGATGTCCATCTCACTCCCAGCGGTCATCGTATTGTTTGCTCTCCTTCTCCTGTTGAAATGCTTGAGTCTGTTGCCCAATACGTTGTTGCTGGGATGCTCGTCACTTTGCATCAGAAGCGTAAGCCTGGCTACTCTCCTTCCTCCGACACAGCGGAGGTAAGAAGGCTTTGCTTTTTTCCTCGCCCCTCCACCTGGACCTGATATTCACGAACAATGAGGAGCTAATCAGAGACATTACTGTCTCAGGCACTACGTACTCGGACCACAAGCTCATTGAAGTGCAAACTAACATTAATAACGGTAGTAGGCCCAAGAGAAACAACAAGCGAGAAGGGCTATTCAATAAATTCAATTTTAATAATAAGAGGATAGACTGGGAGAAAATAAACAGGGAACTTACAAACATTCAATGGGAAAATGTTCTAAGAAATAAAAATCTTACACAGGGAATAGAATAACTGACTTCTGAAGCATATGAAGTCTGTCTGAAACATGTTCCTTTGAGGAAAGCCAGAAAGAGGTCCAATGTAGAAAGAGAACGCGGACGACATTACAAAAGGAGGAAGAAATTAACGGAAATGCTTAAGCAGACACGACTCTCCATACAGAGAAGAAATAATTTAAACAGGGAGATTGAAGAAATCGAACAGACTGAACAAAGGCAACTAGAACAGAAAGCAATTAAAGAAATAAAGAAAAACCCAAAATATTTCTTCACATATGCTAAATCAAAAGCGAAAACCACTGCTAGTATTGGAACTATTCCTATTAGTGAAGGTTCATACACTGAGGATGACAAAGAAATTAGTGAAATCCTAAAAAAGCAATATGAAGACATGTTTAGCACTCCGATACTCAGCATGAAAGTGGAAGATTCGGACAATTTCCTTATGAATGATACTCAAACACCTGTAAATATAACTGATATCAACACGAGAGTGGCAGATTTTGAAAGAGAAATTGACAATATGCCCATGCACTCAGCCCTGGGTCCAGACTCATGGAATTCAATATTTATAAAGAAATGCAAAGTGCCAGTAGCACAGGCACTCAGTATAGTGTGGAGGAAGAGCGTGGACACGGGAGATACCAGATGCTCTTAAAGCAACACACATTGCCCCTCTACACAAGGGTGGTAGCAAAGCATTGGCAAAGAATTATAGACCAGTTGCACTAACGTCCCACATAATAAAAGTATTTGAAAGAGTGATCAGGAGTCAGGTCACTAGATTCATGGAAACCAATGACCTCCACAATCCAGGCCAACATGGATTTAGAGCAGGAAGATCATGCCTCTCACAGCTACTTGACCACTATGACAAAATCACCGAGGCATTAGAGGAAAAACATAATGCAGATGTTGTATACACAGATTTTGCAAAGGCATTCGACGAATGTGGCCATGGAGTGATTGCACACAAAATGA